ATTGAAAAGAAAATATGAAAAGAAAATACAGCAGGAGCTAGCCTATCTCCCTTAACGGGAAAACAGGAGAAAAATAATGTGTATCAAAATAAATGGCATCTACCCCTACATAGTTGTGACCTCTGGGGTATAGTAACAAGGAACAGGCAATATGGTATAAGTCTTAAATAGATAAAGCTAAACAACACTCCAGTTCACAAGTCTAACTGGTCTATAGCACCAAAACAACCAGGTGAACAACATTAAGAGAGCAGCACTAAAAATACACAGCTTCCTTACAAACCGCCATGGACCACATGGTGAAAACACCGTGGGCGAACTGCATCTCATGGCTGTCGCTTTTTCAAGGGCGAATCTTCATTCAGCTACCAATCACAGCACACTTGGTAGTCAGCTGACATCAGTCCCAGTCACCCAGCCTGCTGTTTCTGTGAAAAGTTTCCTGAAAAGTGTGGGCAGTAATGACACCTCTGAGTCAAAAGAAAACAGCAGGGCTGTGAACAGACCCCTTAAAAGTCTCACAAAACGTGTTCTAGTCTGAGGGAGGTACACTATATGGGCAAAAGTATTGGGACACCCGTCCTAATTATTGAGTTCGTGTGTTTCAGCCACACCCAGGTGGATAAAATTAAACACATAGCCTCCAAATATGCGTCCAAACACCAGTCCAAATACACGTCCAAAACCTGTCCAAATACGCCTCCAAACCCCCCTCCAGTAGGGGAGAACGGCATCAAGTGCATTGAAGTGCGGTGAGCTCTGCTCATATATAAGCCTGTGTGGGAGAAGAGCTTTGTTTCAGTGTGTAATATGAGCTCAGTGGTGTTTTGACTCCAAGGAAATGAGACAGAGATTCACAGCATGTTCTCTGAGTTGGACCTGCTGAAGATCAGAGCTGTGTGAGAAGATCAGCACCTGATGATGGAGGAAAACGGGGGACAGTCTCAGCAGAGGAGAGGAAGAATGAGAGAGGAGAGAAAGAAGACGAATGAACAGACTTTAACAGAGTCTAATGAAGGTGTGAGAGAAGAGCTGAGAGTCCACAGAGAGAGCCGAGCAGGTGAGTCTAATCAGAGCAGCAGAGCAGAGTTTTCTACTCCTGTACTTTAGACTGCAGTGTTTTTCTGATCTAACTCACCTGATTAACCAGCAGCTCTTCACTCAGCACTTCAGCAGCTCCAAATGAGTCTGTTAGAGCAGAAAAGGTCATTCATTATGTTCAGTAATATGAACACATAATGATTATTCACTATTACAGTTCACACACTGAGCTATCAGTGTCTGAGGAGCTCTGTGAGAGTAAACTCCACACTGTGTCTGCTGTGTGTGGGTTACTGAGGAGACTCCGCACTGTGTCTGCTGTGTGTGGGTTACTGAGGAGACTGTGAGATAACCTCTGTATACAGATTAAGTGTCCCGGTGGTTAGTTGAGTATTAAGATCGGCTCTTTACTCATATGTAAAGTGTGTGAAGTGAGCATAGTTTCCCTACACAGAACCTCAAATGAGTCAGCATCCCCCCTCATTTCAGAGTGACTCCAGTAACCCTGTCTGATGAAAACACACGCCTGCTGTATCACGATGTTGAAATTGGAGGAGAGCTGCATATTCACAAGGATACTGTAGATTTTAATGCAGAATGCAGTTTGCTGGAATATAATTAATAAGATGTATAAAATATCTGAACTTCTCACTGTACGTCTCTCCCACTATGAACCATCACGCCTACTTAAATCACAAGGTGCTGCTCACTATTAGTACCTAGAATTAATAAAGTTACATCGGGGGGAGAAGCTTCTCATACAAAGCCCCCCAGCTTTGGAATAGTCTTACTGTTAATGTTCGGGACTCAGACACAGCCTCAGTCTTTAAGTCTAAGCTAAAAATTTACTTATATAGTCGAGCCTTTGGTAAGTAGTTTTCCCTGTCGGTTCTAGACCTGCCAGAGTCTCTGCTGCTCTGCTAACACTGTAATCTGTGATCAGTCACCCATTACAGAACTGACACCCATTACAGAACTGACTCTAAGTTCTGTCAGTCACTCATTACAGAACTGACTCTAAGTTCTGTCAGTCACTCATTACAGAACTGACTCTCTGTGTGTTTTTCCTTTCTTTCTTTTCTTCGCCGAGTTGAACAGCTGCCCATCCTGTGCGTTCTGATGCTGCTGCCTCTTCTGCCTTGATCGGGTGCCACTGCTGCCAGCCCTCTGGACTGGCTTGACCACCATCAAGCTTCATGCTGTACAACGCTGTACAACCTCACCCTCACAACCTGACCCCACTGATGCTGCTGCTGCTGCTGCATGAACTAAACTAATCAAATTAATCATTTGCTCCACCTGTTTTCCCTGTTTTGTACTAACAATGTTTACTATCCGGTGTCGACCAGAGGAGGATGGGTTCCCCTTCTGAGTCTTGGTTCCTCTCAAGGTTTCTTCCGGTTTCTCTTAGGGAGTTTTTTCTTGCCACTGTCGCCACTGGTTTGCTCATGGGGGCTCGGACCCAGATTTCTTTCTGTAATGCTGATTTCTCTGTAAAGCTGCTTTGTGACAACACCTGTTGTAAAAAGCGCTATATAAATAAACTTTACTTACTTACTTACTCATCTTATTAATAGTGAGTACAGCTGTGAACAGATAAACTGACCAAATTATGAGTGAAGCTTCATATTGTTGTCACAATCATTACAGAATAAACTGAACCTCATCCAGGAGCCTGTGTTCATATCTTGGTGGGGCAGGGTGAACAACACAGTGGGCTACATTTTAACAGGATACACTTTAAACAATGTATATGTAAAGATACAGTGCCTGTAAGAAAGAACATCTAATGTAAATATTAATGTTTTCCTGTATTAGTGTATTAATGTAGTAATTAATCTGTATTTGGCTAAACGTCTAAATGAAAGGGAATAAGCTAAGAGCTCCTCCACAGTGTGAGGGTGGAAATAGATCAGTGTAGAGTTCAGGCAGGAATTCTGGAGCACAGAAAGAGACTCACTGATGTACAGGCAAGATGAAACACGCTCTGAGTGACCTTAGATCTACAGGAGGAGGTTAAGGGGGAACCTTTTCACCAATACTGCCGTCTGAACACTAAGTTGTTGTGTTCTGTTCCTGTTAATTCTTGTGGTGTCATCATGTTGAACTCTGATGAATATTAGTCTTGTTTAGGCTGTACAATAATGTATGAAGTTACAAGCAGCTCAAAGTGAAAGAGGTAGATGTTTAGTGGTTAAATCTAAATGTGTTAGTAAAAGCTTAAGATGTTCTGGTCAGAGTGTCTCGACATTCCTCACACTGGAAGGTGTCTGTATTGATTATTCTAGATATTATAGATACAGCACCTGTCAATCACAGTTAGGTTCAGTTTGTATTAGTCTTTAAAACACACTGTGGATGCTGTACTCTGTATATGTATTAAAGGGAGGGCGGAGTCTGAGAGCTGACACAAAAAAGAAAAGAGGCCTCAAAAGTCTGACATTCATATGAAACGATTTGATTAACTCGTGTCTCATAACTGTGTATCAGTGTTTTTAACAGACATTAGAGCCTTTTTCCTCATCTGTGATGTGACTGAGCTGACCTGCTGATTGGCTCCTCCTGTTTCGATTAAACTTGTATAAAATTATGAATAAAATGTGTAACATATATAACTTTCATTTTATTCATCATAAACATCACAGCGACACTCCAGATTCTCTGTTTAACAGCATATGATGCTTGTAGCTGTGTAATCAACCATGAAACATATTTAAAAGATTATAAACAAATAAAGTCACTCCATTCATTTCAACAAAGCTCTGTCCAGTTCCTCTTTCTTTCTCTCCTTTTTCATTGTTTTTATCTCCTTTCAAAGACCCAACCTCCATTCTGTATCAGTCTGGCCAATTAAATCACATGACAAAAAGAAACAACACCCTCCTTCAGTTCTATGTTTGGTCCCACATTATTTAGATGATCTACAGATACTTAAATTATCAACAAACTTTCTTGAGATACTTATGTTCTCATGTTTAGTGTTTAGGAGTAGATGTAGGATTTAGGTTGAAATGAATGTTAGACTTAGGCTTAGATTTAATGGGATCTATCACACTCAACTTTAGGTTCAGTTGTAGATAAATGGAAATTTAGTTCAATGTTAGTTAAAGACAGACTGAGCATCTACAAACTGCCTCAATCTTTCACTCAGTGGAAGGTATTGAAATTAAACTCCTCACTGTAGATAATCAAGATGCTGAGTTTGACTCAAAACACATTGTGCTGTTACAGCCACACTGAACAAAACACCTCATTTAACACAATAAAACATGTTTGCTTTCTCTTTGAATGGCAGATAAAGGTGATTTAATCATGGAACTGAACAACAAACATCACTGTCACCTCTTTAAACCTACAGTCATTTGTATAAACTGATGCTTTACTGACATCTGCTGGTCAACTGAGTGAACGAGCTGCTGCTGTTTAGTTTCTGAGATTGTTGAAACACTGAAGTGGAATTTAAGGAAGAGGATCATGTTTCATCCAGTAGTCCAGCAGTGCAGGTCAGAACACAGCTGAGCCGAACACTGAAGAGCAGACAGACTCAAACAAAAAAAAAAACAAAAGACTGACGTTCTTCTGAAACGATTTTATTAATCTAGTGTGTCATAACTGTGTATTTGGGTTTTTATAAAAAATAAAAAATGAAGTAATTTTGATTTTAAACATTATTCATAATGGAAAAAATCGTTTGTACTTAGATATTCTGCTCAGACGTCAGCAGGGTGTAATGAACATGCAGGAAGCTGTACTGATACAGTGCAGTAAGAAAACCAATAACGTAAGTTTATCCACTGATAACCTGTGGATTCCTGACAGTGTTCAGAGAAACTGACTGATCACTGTTTAACACTGTTTAACAAGGTCAGTCCCACCTCTTTACTGTGAGAAAGAATCTGATGCTGATTATTTTAAAGAAATAACAAGATTGATTGAACAGAAACACAGGACAAACAAACAAGCAGGAAACGGAACATTTTATTGGCCAATAAAGACCGTTCACACTTCTGCAGCAGCATCACATTAGACTGCTGTAATAATAATAAATGAAACAGAGAAATGAAGAATAGAAAAACACATAAAAGAACACTTTCTACGGATTATGAATACAGATCCAGTAAATGTAAAAATATAAAAAAAGAAATGAAAATAAAATATAACAGTGAATATTTACGCTGAATTCTGCTGATAAACTACTGACTGTTTCAGTGAACAGAATGAACAGTATATACAGAACAGAGTAACGACAGTGTAATAGACATAAATCATCACTGTGAGTAACAAGTTTTCTCAAACACAATTAAACCATTAATCTTCCAGCTTTCTTCATCTGAGCTGCTTGAACTTTGGTGGAAACCTGGAGAAACGTAGGAACATCATGAACATCATAAAGTCTAATAGACACAAACATCATATTGATAAAGAAATCAATGTGATTAAAGACAGAAAGACAGTGCAGGTCTGAGTAAGAAGAGCTCAGATCTCAGATTTGTGAAGATGTGGATGAAATGAATGGAAAAGAGCACAGATTCAGTCTCATGTTCTCTCTGTTATAACACATTTATTAATACGTCAGTTCAGTATAAAGTCCTTCAGGAGGTCAATCAGGTGTTTGTGATCAGAGAAAAGACTAAACTGTGCAGGACAGAGTCTCACAGGACTGGACATGGTCAGCACTGAGGAACAGAAGACTCACCTCTGAAATCAGAGAGTCGATTCAGACTTTTGCTCCTCCTTTTATCACTGCTCTCTCTCTCTCTCCTCACATCACACTCATCAGTTTCTTTCTCTCTGTCTGAGGAGGAACAACATCAGATCAGATTAGACGTTTCTTTAAGCTGTAATCTGGAGCTGTAGAGTCACACAGACACATATGATCGTCTGAATGTCTGTTTCTCAGATATTTCTTTATAGACTGTCTACAAAAGTAAAGCAGGTCCACCAGTAAGTGTAGAATAATGACAGAATACACTGACTTTAACATTACAGCCTGTCAGCCCAGCATTATTTAATACCTTATTAATAAACAAAGTGTTTATTCTGTATGGATGAATTTGCTCTATAGACGGTCATAAACATTAAAACCTATTAATAACCCAGCAGACTGTAGATGGAGCAGCAACAACAATCTAATCTACAGATTAAACCATTTTACAGTTATAAAACCAAAATGATGGCAGCAAATTAATGAGATAACCTCTCAAATCAGTAACTATATGATGTGTTTAATCAGCATCTCAGGCCTACAGAAATGTACAGTAATGAGAGGAATTTATCTCTCAGTCAGTTTATTACAGGACTCACTTCAGCATCTTCATCTAGAGCTGCTGGACTTTTGGGACGCATGAAACACAAATCAGCCTCAGAAATGAATCACATTATAGGACTGAGCGATATCTAAACTATTAGCATTACATTATCGCCCCTCACCCCCCTTCCCCAAAAAAATCAGGTCTGCAGCTCCCACCTTCTCACTGTTCTCACTGTAGTCTCCGCATTAACTGATCAATCTTTAATAGAACCACATATTAAATGATGCAACACTGAGGAGCTCAACATCTCTTAAAAACTACTGTTTATAATTAACGTTACTGAAAAAACAGTCAGTCATTCATGAGCTGCTTCTGCAGATTCCGATCAAACTGTGCAAAACTTTAATATCTCAACTCACCCACAGTTTACTCAGTAACCCACGCACAGCAGACACAGTGCGGAGTCTCCTCAGTAACCCACGCACAGCAGACACAGTGCGGAGTCTCCTCAGTAACCCACGCACAGCAGACACGGTGCGGAGTCTCCTCAGTAACCCACACACAGCAGACACAGTGCAGAGTTTACTCTATCAGAGCTCCTCAGACACTGATAGCTCAGTGTGTGAACTGTAATAGTGAATAATCATTATGTGTTCATATTACTGAACATAATGAATGACCTTTTCTGCTCTATCAGACTCATTTGGAGCTGCTGAAGTGCTGAGTGAAGAGCTGCTGGTTCATCAGGTGAGTTAGATCAGAAAAACACTGCAGTCTAAAGTACAGGAGTAGAAAACTCTGCTCTGCTGCTCTGATTAGACTCACCTGCTCGGCTCTCTCTGTGGACTCTCAGCTCTTCTCTCACATCTTCATTAGACTCTGTTAAAGTCTGTTCATTCATCTTCTTTCTCTCCTCTCTCACTCTTCCTCTCCTCTGCTGAGACTGTCCCCCGTTTTCCTCCATCAGCAGGTGCTGATGTTCTCACAGCTCCAATCTTTCAGCAGGTCCGACTCAGAGAACATGCTGTGAAACTCTCTGTTGCTGAAAATTCACCGCTGTGTCTCCAACCACAGTTTTTTTTAGTGGGAGGCGCATTTCCGCTACGCAGAGTGCACCGCAGAGAGCAGATTCTAGGAAACATAGTGAAGGGGGTGGAGAACAGGCCCTCCATCACAGCCAATCAAATAACAGTGCCGGCTTCAAGCTGTTCAGCTCTTCAGCTTGGGACAGTCCCTGCTGCTGCATGTTTGAGACATCAACACGTATTGTTTGTAATATAAGATCTGCTGTAAATACGGTTGCACTGAAACAGCTACAGATGTAGTTCAGTGTCTGCAGTGTTTTCCGTCTCTCTGACAGACATATTAGTGCACCAGTGTTGATTTATACACACAAACTAGGTATTTGTGAGAATAATTGATGGTAACAGTCCTAAACCACATATTACTGTACTATATATACTATACTAATGAATGGACTAATGACTGGTAGTGCACTAGTTTTGACATGTTATATATAACAGTAATGTGCTGTTTTGGACGCAGCCCCCGTCTAATGGTAGTTTGTAGTGATCTGCAAAAAAAAGAAGAATCTTTCAGTGGTGGCAGTATGATTTAGTTAGGGCGCTTGATGGTTTTCCAGCTGTCCAGTTGTAATTTGTGGTCTTCATTGGGAAGAGTGGACGCATTGCTTCATTGGGAAAGGTTGTATTGGTTGTTAGGTTTCATTAACCTATTCTCTTTATTGTGTTTATATATGTTGTACATTTTTTCTTGCTATTTTTTGTCTTGGTTGGAAAAAATATGCATTTATAACAGTGACCCAACCAACACTGCGGTTAGTGGTGCTGCACAGGCCTCGTAGAACCTGCTGTGAAATCATGAAAAAATCACTGACCACCCAAAAAAGGTAGCCAAGTAGGAACCCACCAGACATTTGTGCCGAGGGTCTTTAACTTGATCAGGGACTGAGTAGAAACACAGCACAAACAAACAAACAAGCAGGAAACTGAACAGATTATGGAAATAGATTCACTTAAATGTAAAAATATAAACAGAAATATAAACAGTGAATATTTACACTGTATGAATTTTGCTGATAAACAATACTGACCTTTTTAGTGTGAACAGAATGAACAGTTTATACAGAATAGAGTAACCACAGTGTATTTTTAATGGAGATAAATCATCACTGTGAGTAACAGGTGCTGCATCTGTGACTCAGCAAGGCTGATATTAGTGATGAAATCTTCATTAAAATAAAGAGTTCAACTCAAACACCTTCTACTAAATCAAATATGAGTCCAGTTTAAACAGAAACTATCACGTTTAAGATTATCATGTTTTCTCAAACTCAGTCAGATTAAACCATTAATCTTCCAGCTTTCTTCATCTGAGCTGCTTGAACTTTGGTGGAAACCTGGAGAAACGTAGGAACATCATGAACATCATGAAGTCTAATAGACACAAACGTCATATTGATAAAGAGATCAATGTGTTTAAAGACAGAAAGACAGTGCAGGTCTGAGTAAGAAGAGCGATGTGTGGGTAGAAGCTTCTTTCCTGTTTGGTTTATAATACGAAGTGAAAATGGTGCTGTTGCGTTTGTCCGCTCTGCAGGAAGTTGCTCTGCTCTTTTCTCTGTTAGTAGTTTCCCTCCAAACACAGCTATGTTGTGACACGGTTGTGTGTTTGCTGGTTCATTGCAGCTCCACACTGAATATAAACAACGAACACGGAAGCTCTTCTCACTGCAATTGTGGCTCCGTTTGTGTTCTGGTTTAACTGTAATGATTAACCAGTAAAATGTGTATTTAAACATCTCGAATCTCCATCAAACCTTCATTTTCAGTGGTAGGTTCATCTACAGACGGTGAACTACGATCTAAATCACTGTCTCTCTGAGTAAAAACCTCATGAGCGAGTTTGTCTTTTACTCTACGCCTCTTGAAACTATCGATTCCAGGATCTGAGAGTCCAGGATCTCTGAGAGAGATCTTGTTATGGAGTTTGAGAGATTCTGAGTGACCGTGGAAGAAGATCCACAACAGGACTGCACTGATGACCATCTAATAAAATTCTTGAACATCATGATGAGAAAAGTGCTTTTCATAATGAACTCAGTTCTATTCTGAGAATTTAGTGACCATTTTTATATTTGATTTGACCCTCTACTGCGTGAATTATTATGTATACATGATAAATGTTTTAATGCGTTTTTGTTGTTTGAAATTGCTTAAATAATGGAAATTTATGATTTTTTTTAAATTAAGTGGGTTTATTGGTAGATATAATAAAAACTAAAAAAAAGCACCATAAAATGTATTTTTTTCTCTAAATATTTCCTTTTATCCTTTTATTGAAAACAAGAACAAACCAATCCAACTTATACTCAGTAAAATGTACGACCCGATATTTACAAATATTGGAAATGAATACAATTTCAATTGGTATTTGGAATGTGTGGTAATAACATCATAATAAAGATTTCTGGTCATGTGATGCCATGAAGTATTTGTCCTTTCAAAGTAAAAGACCTGTTTTCCACAATTAAATGAGAAAAACAGATTTTATATTACTGCTTTTTAGAAAAATTACACAACCTTAAAACTCGACATACTCCATCCCCCTAAGGCCTAGTCTAAGTAGGCCAGGTTTGGGGCCTCTATGTCACACGGCTGGTCTGTAAGGCCCTGAAATGTTAGTTTCTGCCTTTCCTCTATAAAAGCATTGCCTTTTTGAGCAAATATAAAGGGTCACTGTACGCTGCCCTTTTGACCTAGGGCCTTAAAACTCAACATACTCCATCCCACTAAGGCCTAGTCTAAGTAGGCCGGGTTTGGGGCCAGGATGTCACACGGCTGGTCTCTAAGCCCCTGAAATGTTAGTTTTGGCCTTCCCTTTACAAAAGCATAAGCACAAAACAGTGAAGGCAGACAGTTTCCATTAAGTAGAACTGAGTGGCTCTGAAATAAATTTTTACAAACAAGCAAAGTTTCAGTTTAAGATTCATTTGCAACTTAGTTACAAGTTTAAGTTTAATAAAAACTTGCTTTAAATTTAGATTCATAAATGGGTTTTCCTTAAACTGGAAAACTCATTTGTGAATCTGAGGTTAAACTGCATCTGTAGGTCTCTGTTCATAAACATAAACTAGCAAAAACTAATTTACTATAAAATGAAATAGTGTTTGTATAAATTCAGAAAAAAGACACGTCAGTCACAACTGCATATGTGTACATATTTCTATATTGTGGTCTATTTACACAAAGTTAGGTTAGTTCATCATTTATGTTGAATAGACTCTCCCAAAATTTTACGCTGCTGCACTGATGTTGAACTATAGCTGGCTGACCACATTGGTAACCCTTTATTTGGAGTGGTCATTTGTAGATCATTAATTAACTCTTCCCAGAGTTTTAGCAACACATCAGCAGCATATCAGTGAATCAGCAGTAGTGAATCATCTGAATACACTGAAGTAAATATCTTGAAGATGTTCTGTTGATACATTACTTAAATTAAATAGATGTATTGTTATGTTACAAAGCAGACTTTATATTATACTTCCATTAAGCAACACCTAACCTTACCCAACATTACCTCAAACCAAACCCTAACCCTGCCACTAATCCTAACCCTAACCTGAACCCTGACCAAAACCTAATCCAGTGAAGCTCCAGGTACAGAATGGTGTCAGTGTGTCTGTAACAGCTTGTCGAGGATGTTGAGGTGGTCTGTATTAAACCTGTTACATGTTCAGTGACCCCTCAGGTTGCACATCTACAGATATGAACTCCAAACAAAGTGAAAAAACAACAGAATTCAGCAGATTATAAACAAATTTTATTTACACAGTTAATTAAAAGTCTCCTGATAATCTACTGAATGTATTCACTGCTGCTACATCACTGGTATGTTGTTGATGTTACTGAGAGTCTGTTGAGTGTTTATTTCATTTAAAACGGATCACTCAAAATAAAGTGTCCCGCAAGAGTCAGTTTTCAAACATTGTCCACAAAGTTTGTTTTTCCTATATAGCGCATAGGCCAACTTCAAATCAATGCACTTTGTCATGACAAGACAATCATTAGGCTGTAGTTCTTTGATATGTTAACACAACATAATTAGCTGATGGACTCAGTTGTGGACATGTTTTTGTGTTTGTTTATTACTTCAGCTCGAGGTCCAGATGAGGTTATGTGGAGATACAAAGCGGTGCTGAATCATTACAAGAAGAGGAAATCATTCGTGTCAGCATACAAGGCCGTAGGGGTATCCCAGAATACCATTGTGACTATGGCTCCAATTGCTGAGCTGGCAATTATTGACCCTCCCAAATTTGAGGAGCTGGCCAGCACTTTTTCCCAAAAAGAAAAGCTTCTTGATTTTGCTAAGAAAGGCCAGTAGATGTTTTTATCATGTGCTACAGACCTTAAAGTTGTGGTTCACCAAAACTTTTTAATATATATATTTATATATTTTATATTTATATATTTATATATAATTTAATTCATGTAATTTTCCCCCCAGCTCAAATGTGGTTTATTAAGCAAGACACATTTGGTGTATCACATTTGCTTCTTTAGCTTTGCACTACAGTTATGATACTAATGTAGCTAAAAAGTAATGAAAGTCTTTGGTATCCAAAATCTTATTTTCAGTGACACAGACTTCATAGATTTCTATCTTTTTTGTAATTGTTGAGCAAATTGCTTCATTTTTTATTTGTAATTGGTGAGCAAATGCCAATTAAAGTCATTGTTTAATTTCACTCTTGGCCTAGTTTGAATTCACTGATGACCGGTAAACATGTGTTAAATGCCAGTGGCTGATAAACATTTACAGCATTTAAGAAATAGTGAATGTGGTTCACTTTGGAGTAGGTACTGTCAAAAGGTTTATATATAATCAATTAATGTTTCTTAATTACGAATTACTGTATGGAGACGTCCAATCATACATGAGTGTATGTAAGGAGTGATAATGTGTTAACATGCTTATGAAATTTAAATCCATATTCACTAATAGGTTATAAGCCTTTAGAAATATTAACTAATAATGAAGAGTTTCAACTTTAGTTCAGGTACTGCAAAAAAGTCTATAACTGATTCATATATAGCTTACACATATTTGTTAACATTTTTTAGAGTTATACATATTTATTCATGACTTGTAAGTATATATAATCTAATTATGAACCGTTTTAACTTACTTTATGCACTGAAAAGGGCCCAGAACTAAAAGATCTTTTTTGATTATATGATTATTATATCTTGCCTCAATATTTAGCCATAATATAGACTTGCTGTCACGTTATTAGACTCATCTGCCTTGCTGAAGCACATTGTAGGTGAACAGGAGCACAGAGCTGCTCTTGATTGGATACCTTTGGGGGTCGGAGCCCTCTCAGCCTAGCAGTGACACTGAGGTATGTAGAACCGCAGCAGCACCACTGTGTGTTATACACTTGTAGCAGCGCCACACACTGTTCTGAGACAGCACACTGTTATACACAAGCTGCCAATCATGAACTTATGTACCTTTTCAAATTCTTAAGAACTAATGATTTGTTCATGTTTGAAAGTATGAATGGACACATTGGCAACATGAACTATCATTGATGAACATTTGCTCGTTTTCAAAGCCTCATTATCTAGTCATTTATTCATTTTCCAATTCTGATGAGCAAGTGATTCATTAACATATTTGTAAATATGAATACATGCATTGGTAACTACATGAACTGTCATTTGTAAACATTTGTTCATTTCAAATTCTCATGAACTCATCATTGGTTCACAGCTATTAATCATTAGTTAATGGTATGTTAATGAAAGTTATGATGAAGTGTCTTCAATGTATTTGTCTTCCTCAAGGGTCACTACATTCTGTCCACTTGACTGTAGCTTCTCCCTCATTGGTCAGCAGTGAGCGTAATATAATGTACAATGCGCTCTGAAGTCATAATGGACTAAAGGCTACAGGCTGTGATGACATAAAGGTGATGCAGATAAGTTCCGTCACACGGCTGTTCCACAACATTCCGTGTGGAGCCGCGAAGAGATCAGCTGCTACAATGAGCTGCCTCTGGTTCTTGTGCTGCCGAGTCCATGAGGACTCGGACACAGACAGCGAGAGAAAGGAGGAGCAGCAGAGTGAAAAGAGAAAGAAAGGAAAGAAGAAGAGGAGTGGGAGGAAATGGAAGATGCAGTGGAAGAAAGCAAGGAAGAACAACAAGAAAAAAGACGAAGAAGAAGAAGAAAAAAGGAGCCAAACAATCCAGCAGCCAGCAAAGTTGGAGGAAGAGGCTGATGTTGTGGACCTGCCAGTAGGCCTCGTGTCCGGCAGCCTTAAAAGCATCTCTCCTGAGACGCCGGAGAACACGGCACCTCCACAACAGCAGAACCTCACTGAAGAGACGGATGAAACCAAAAAACGTCTAATGAATACGCTGCTGGATGAAGTTGAAACACACATGGAGCAGTTTCTGAGTGAGTTAATGAGATAATATTCATAACAGACACTGAATAAAAGTAATGAACACCAAATATTCATAGTAGACACTGTAAAATTCATAGTGGGTACTGAATAATTTATAGCTGTGACTAAATATCCAAAGTAGATACTGAATAATTCATTGCAAATAATAAATAATGTATAATGAAGACTAAGTAGTTCATAGTAGTCACTAAATATTAATAGTAGACACTAAATAATTCACCATGGTTACTGAAAAATTCATAATGCATACAGAAGAATTTGTAGTAGTTACATAATAATTTGTAATATATACTGTATAATTCATAGTGGATACAATAGCGTTCATAGTACATACTGAACAATCATAGGAATCACCACATGTTCATAGCAGGCACCGTAAAATTCATAGTAGATACTGAATAATTCATTGCAGATACTAAATAATTCAGAATGAAGACTTAATAATTCATAGTAGTCAATAAATATTAATAGTAGATACTGAATAATCCCTATTGGATACTGTATAAATCACAGTAGATACTGATTAATTTGTAGGAGTCACTGAATATTCATTGCTGATACTCAAAAATTCATAATGGATACTGAATATTCATAGTGGACAGTAAATAATTCGTAGTGCATACAAAATAATTCATAGTAATTATATAATCATTTATAATATATATTGAATAATTCATACGGGGCATTCAATAATTTGTAGTGCATGTGAAATAATTAATACTGATTACATAACAATTTACAATAGTTATTAAATAATTCACAGAAGTCATTATATAAATAAAATTTGATAGTCAATAATTCATAGTAGGTGCTGTATAATTCACAATGGATAGTGAATAAATCATAGGAGGTAAAGAATATTTCAAAATAATCATGGAACGTTCATAACAGAGACTGAATAATTCTCAATACTCACATAAAGATTCATAGTAAATACTGAATTCGTATGAGATATGGAAAAATTCATATTTCATACTGAATAATTGAGAAAAAAGAACTGAATATTTCAGAGTAATAACTGGAAAATACATCTTAAGAGGGTGTTTTTGAAATAATTTTCAAAACTCAATAATATTCAGTGCCCGTCATATTTGACTGTATTTTTATATACAGAAACTGAGACAGTGATGATGATTGGAGAACCTCTGGAGAAACATCTGGGTAAGTAAAGAAAATGAACAGATAGTACGATGATAATAACACATTTAGTTAAAATAAAAGCAAGAATTCAGCTTAATATGATCTCTAATCTGTCTCAATTCATTCTAGATCATCCAGTGAGCACCAATGATGATGCTGCTAAAGCCATCAGAGAGCTCCTGGAGGTCCTGTTTGCTGATGCTCTGATGGCGAGTGTCCAGCCTCTGAGTGAGTAAAGGAAATAAAAATATTACAATGAAAATGAAAAAACTGGAAAACTGACCATATTTATGTGTATTAAAGCAGAAAATGAGATGATTACAAAGAAGGCTGCTGAAGCTGAAGCTGAAGCCATCGATGCGTTCATGAGCATCTCAGTCGAGGACAATGAGAAGGAACATCTGGAGGAACCTCTGGGTAAGTAAAGAAAGTAATGATGTCATGGTGGAAATACATTTAGTTCATATTGAAATGTGAATTCTAATCTGTTTTAATTCTTCATTCAAGATAATCTAGTGAGCATAACTGATGACAAGACTGGAGTCATCAGTGAGCTCCTGGAGATCCAGCTGGAGTATCCAGCGAGTGTCCAGCCTCTGTGTAAGTAAAGTTGATGAGCAGATGTCGTGATGATGATAACAAATTCTGGTTGCTTTCACACCTCCTTTGTTTGTTCCAGACCTTCAGACTTTTAAATTTGGTCTGAAGCAAAACTGCATGTGTGAAAGTTTCCTCAGACCATGGTTCAGATCAAAGGGCCAAAATTTGGTCGGTCTAAAAGAGGTGGTCTTGGTCCAGATCAAACTGAGCCATGGTTCGATTCATTTGCAGTGTGAAAGCACTTTTTTGGATGGTTCACATTTTCGGACCAATTCCAGGAAGTTGAGTCAGGCTGTCGTCACCCATCAAACAATAGAGGAAGAAAAAGAACCAGAAGAGAGTAAAATGAGCCGCGGTAGCTCACGGGGAGGAGACGGTGTATTTATTTGTAATTTGGACTCACGAAAAAGTCAAAAGTCAACATTTTTCTCCATTCAAACGTAAAAGACAAGAAGCTGAACTGACCACACGCTGACATCAGACTCTCCTCTACAAACCAATCGGTGTCCAGTACAGGGAGACACAGCCCACGGTGGTGATGATGTCAGGACGTAGGTGTGTCATGCAGAGTTCTTTAGTGCGCTCGTTAAATCGCAACCAAAACGAGCTGGATCAAATGATTACAATGTAACAAACACATGAACCTCAGTTTGGACTTTGATCAGGACTTTCAGGTCTGAAAACACCCTTAATTTATATTAACACAGGAATTCAGCTTAATATGATCTCTAATCTGTATGAATTCATTCTAGATCATCCAGTGAGCACCAATGATGATGCTGCTAAAGCCATCAGAGAGCTCCTGGAGGTCCTGTTTGCTGATGCTCTGATGGCGAGTGTCCAGCCTCTGAGTGAGTAAAGGAAATAAAAATATTACAATGAAAATGAAAAAAACTGGAAAACTGACCATATTTATTTGTATTAAAGCAGAAAATGAGATGATTACAAAGAAGGCTGCTGAAGCTGAAGCTGAAGCCATCGATGCGTTCATGAGCATCTCAGTCGAGGACAATGAGGAGGAACATCTGGAGGAACCTCTGGGTAAGTAAAGAAAGTAATGATGTCATGGTGGAAATACATTTAGTTCATATTGAAATGTGAATTCTAATCTGTTTTAATTCTTCATTCAAGATAATCTAGTGAGCATAACTGATGACAAGACTGGAGTCATCAGTGAGCTCCTGGAGATCCAGCTGGAGTATCCAGCGAGTGTCCAGCCTCTGTGTAAGTAAAGTTGATGAGCAGATGTCGTGATGATGATAACAAATTCTGGTTGCTTTCACACCTACTTTGTTTGTTCCAGACCTTCAGACTTTTAAATTTGGTCTGAAGCAAAACTGCATGTGTGAAAGTTTCCTCAGACCATGGTTCAGATCAAAGGGCCAAAATTTGGTCGGACTAAAAGAGGTGGTCTTGGTCCAGATCAAACTGAGCCATGGTTCGGTTTTGGATGGTTCACATTTTCGGACCAATTCCAGGAAGTTGAGTCAGGCTGTCGTCACCAATCAAACAATAGAGGAAGAAAAAGAACCAGAAGAGAGTAAAATGAGCCGCGGTAGCTCACGGGGAGGAGACGGTGTATTTATTTGTAATTTGGACTCACGAAAAAGTCAAAAGTCAACATTTTTCTCCAAACGTAAAAGACAAGCAGCTGAACTGACCACACGCTGACATCAGACTCTCCTCTACAAACCAATCGGTGTCCAGTACAGGGAGACACCTCCCACGGTGGTGATGATGTCAGGACATAGGTGTGTCATGCAGAGTTCTTTAGTGCGCTCGTTAAATCGCAACCAAAACGAGCTGGATCAAATGATTACAATGTAACAAACACATGAACCTCAGTTTGGACTTTGATCAGGACTTTCAGGTCTGAAAACACCCTTAATTTATATTAACACAGGAATTCAGCTTAAATATGATCTCTAATCTGTCTGAATTCATTCTAGATCATCCAGTGAGCACCAATGATGATGCTGCTACAGCCATCAGAGAGCTCCTGGAGGTCCTGTTTGCTGATGCTCTATCAGCGAGTGCCCAGCCAAAGAAGGCTGCTGAAGCTGAAGCTGAAGCTGAATCCATCGATGAGCCCATGAGCATCTCAGTGGAGGACAATGTGGAGGAACATCTGCAGGAACATCTGGGTAAGTAAAGAAATGAACAAATAGTGAGATGATATTGACACATATAATTAATATTAAAGCTTAATATGAGCTCTAATCTGTCTGAATTCATTCAAGATAATCTAGTGAGCACCAATGATGACGAAGCTAAAGCCATCAGTGAGCTCCTAGAGATCCTGTTTGACGAGGAGATCCAGATGGGGTGTCCAGCAAGTGTCCAGCCTCTGGGTGAGTAACGAACATAAAACATCTACAATAAAAATGAAAAAGCTGGAATACTGAAAGTATTTATTTGTATTAAAGCAGAAAATGAGATGGCGGCTGATGAAGCGGAGGCTGAAGCCACCAACAAATTCATGAGCATGTCTCTGGAGGACTCTGAGGAGGACCCTCACAGCAACTTGGACGATGGTGAAACAGGTGATGACCAATCTTTCGGTTAGTAATGGAAATGGTCAGTGGAAATGTATCAGGAATGAAATCAGCTGGAAAAATGATCAAATTTATTTATGTGAATGCAGACAATGAGATGACGAGGGAGATGATGTTGGCTACCAAAACCCTCAAAGACCTCTTAGGAATCAATTGTGAGGACGCTGAGGAGGAACCTGTCAAGGAACCTCTGGGTGAGTAAATGAAATGAACAGATGACAAGATTGTGGAACATCTAACACCACAGCTATGGGTGAGAAGAAGAGTCCATTCTTATGATCAGCATCATGATCACTCTGAGTTAACAGGACGAACGCTGATATTATTAATGCTGATATTATTAATGCTGATATTAATTGTAACACAGAGAATGAGATGACGTTGGCTACCAAAACCCTCAAAAACCTCTTAGGAATCCATCGGGAGGACATTGAGGAGGAACCTGTCAAGGAACATCTGGGTGAGTAAATGAAATGAACAGATGACAAGATTGTGGAACATCTAACACCACAGCTATGGGTGAGAAGAAGAGTCCATTCTTATGATCAGCATCATGATCAATGAGTTAACAGGACGAACGCTGATATTATTAATGCTGATATTAATGTTAACACAGACAATGAGATGACGAGGGAGATGATGTTGGCTACCAAAACCCTCAAAGACCTCCTAGGCATCAATTGTGAGGACGCTGAGGAGGAACCTGTCAAGGAACATCTGGGTAAGTAAATGAAATGAACAGATGACAAGATTGTGGAACATCTAACACCACAGCTATGGGTGAGAAGAAGAGTCCATGTTCATGATCAGCATCATGATCACTCTGAGTTAACAGGGCAAACGCTGATATTATTAATGCTGATATTAATTTTAACACAGACAATGAGATGACGTTGGCTACTAAAACCCTCAAAGACCTCTTAGGAATCCATCGGGAGGACATTGAGGAGGAACCTGTCAAGGAACATCTGGGTGAGTAAATGAAATGAACAGATGACAAGATTGTGGAACATCTAACACCACAGCTATGGGTGAGAAGAAGAGTCCATGTTCATGATCAGCATCATGATCACTCTGAGTTAACAGGGCAAACGCTGATATTATTAATGCTGATATTATTAATGCTGATATTAATTTTAACACAGACAATGAGATGACGAGGGAGATGATGTTGGCTACCAAAACCCTCAAAGACCTCTTAGGAATCCATCATGAGGACATTGAGGAGGAACCTGTCAAGGAACCTCTGGGTGAGTAAATGAAATGAACAGATGACAAGATTGTGGAACATCTAACACCACAACTATGGGTGAGAAGAAGAGTCCATTCTTATGATCAGCATCATGATCACTGAGTTAACAGGGCGAACGCTGATATTATTAATGGTGATATTATTAATGCTGATATTAATGTTTAACACAGACAATGAGATGACGAGGGAGATGACGTTGGCTACCAAAACCCTCAAAGACCTCCTAGGCATCAATTGTGAGGACGCTGAGGAGGAACCTGACAAGGAACATCTGGGTAAGTAAATGTAATGAACAGATGACAAGATTGTGGAACATCTAACACCACAGCTATGGGTGAGAAGAAGAGTCCATGTTCATGATCAGCATCATGATCACTCTGAGTTAACAGGGCAAACGCTGATATTATTAATGCTGATATTAATTTTAACACAGACAATGAGATGACGAGGGAGATGATGTTGGCTACCAAAACCCTCAAAGACCTCCTAGGCATCAATTGTGAGGACGCTGAGGAGGAACCTGTCAAGGAACATCTGGGTAAGTAAATGAAATGAACAGATGACAAGATTGTGGAACATCTAACACCACAGCTATGGGTGAGAAGAAGAGTCCATGTTCATGATCAGCATCATGATCACTCTGAGTTAACAGGGCAAACGCTGATATTATTAATGCTGATATTATTAATGCTGATATTAATTTTAACACAGACAATGAGATGACGTTGGCTACCAAAACCCTCAAAGACCTCTTAGGAATCCATCAGGAGGACATTGAGGAGGAACCTGTCAAGGAACCTCTGGGTGAGTAAATGAAATGAACAGATGACAAGATTGTGGAACATCTAACACCACAGCTATGGGTGAGAAGAAGAGTCCATTCTTATGATCAGCATCATGATCAATGAGTTAACAGGACGAACGCTGATATTATTAATGGTGATATTATTAATGCTGATATTAATGTTAACACAGACAATGAGATGACGAGGGAGATGATGTTGGCTACCAAAACCCTCAAAGACCTCCTAGGCATCAATTGTGAGGATGCTGAGGAGGAACCTGACAAGGAACATCTGGGTAAGTAAATGAAATGAACAGATGACAAGATTGTGGAACATCTAACACCACAGCTATGGGTGAGAAGAAGAGTCCATTCTTATGATCAGCATCATGATCACTCTGAGTTAACAGGGCAAACACTAATATTATTAATGCTGATATTAATGTTAACACAGACAATGAGATGACGAGGGAGATGACGGTGGCTACCAAAACCCTCAAAGACCTCTTAGGAATCCATCGGGAGGACATTGAGGAGGAACCTGTCAAGGAACATCTGGGTGAGTAAATGAAATGAACAGATGACAAGATTGTGGAACATCTAACACCACAGCTATGGGTGAGAAGAAGAGTCCATTCTTATGATCAGCATCATGATCAATGAGTTAACAGGACGAACGCTGATATTATTAATGCTGATATTAATGTTAACACAGACAATGAGATGACGAGGGAGATGATGTTGGCTACCAAAACCCTCAAAGACCTCCTAGGCATCAATTGTGAGGACGCTGAGGAGGAACCTGTCAAGGAACATCTGGGTAAGTAAATGAAATGAACAGATGACAAGATTGTGGAACATCTAGCACCACAGCTATGGGTGAGAAGAAGAGTCCATGTTCATGATCAGCATCATGATCACTCTGAGTTAACAGGGCAAACGCTGATATTATTAATGTGATATTATTAATGCTGATATTAATTTTAACACAGACAATGAGATGACGTTGGCTACCAAAACCCTCAAAGACCTCTTAGGAATCCATCATGAGGACATTGAGGAGGAACCTGTCAAGGAACATCTGGGTGAGTAAATGAAATGAACAGATGACAAGATTGTGGAACATCTAACACCACAGCTATGGGTGAGAAGAAGAGTCCATTCTTATGATCAGCATCATGATCACTCTGAGTTAACAGGGAACGCTGATATAATGCTGATATTATTAATGCTGATATTAATTTTAACACAGACAATGAGATGACGTTGGCTACCAAAACCCTCAAAGACCTCTTAGGAATCCATCGGGAGGACATTGAGGAGGAACCTGTCAAGGAACATCTGGGTAAGTAAATGAAATGAACAGATGACAAGATTGTGGAACATCTAACACCACAGCTATGGGTGAGAAGAAGAGTCCATTCTTATGATCAGCATCATGATCAATGAGTTAACAGGACGAACGCTGATATTATTAATGCTGATATTATTAATGCTGATATTAATTTTAACACAGACAATGAGATGACGTTGGCTACTAAAACCCTCAAAGACCTCTTAGGCATCAATTGTGAGGACGCTGAGGAGGAACCTGACAAGGAACATCTGGGTAAGTAAATGAAATGAACAGATGACAAGATTGTGGAACATCTAACACCACAGCTATGGGTGAGAAGAAGAGTCCATTCTTATGATCAGCATCATGATCACTCTGAGTTAACAGGGCAAACGCTGATATTATTAATGCTGATATTAATTTTAACACAGACAATGAGATGACGAGGGAGATGACGTTGGCTACCAAAACCCTCAAAGACCTCTTAGGAATCCATCGGGAGGACATTGAGGAGGAACCTGTCAAGGAACATCTGGGTAAGTAAATGAAATGAACAGATGACAAGATTGTGGAACATCTAACACCACAGCTATGGGTGAGAAGAAGAGTCCATGTTCATGATCAGCATCATGATCACTCTGAGTTAACAGGGCAAACGCTGATATTATTAATGCTGATATTAATTTTAACACAGACAATGAGATGACGAGGGAGATGATGTTGGCTACCAAAACCCTCAAAGACCTCTTAGGAATCCATCGGGAGGACATTGAGGAGGAACCTGTCAAGGAACATCTGGGTGAGTAAATGAAATGAACAGATGACAAGATTGTGGAACATCTAACACCACAGCTATGGGTGAGAAGAAGAGTCCATTCTTATGATCAGCATCATGATCAATGAGTTAACAGGACGAACGCTGATATTATTAATGCTGATATTAATGTTAACACAGACAATGAGATGACGAGGGAGATGATGTTGGCTACCAAAACCCTCAAAGACCTCCTAGGCATCAATTGTGAGGACATTGAGGAGGAACCTGTCAAGGAACATCTGGGTAAGTAAATGAAATGAACAGATGACAAGATTGTGGAACATCTAACACCACAGCTATGGGTGAGAAGAAGAGTCCATGTTCATGATCAGCATCATGATCACTCTGAGTTAACAGGGCAAACGCTGATATTATTAATGCTGATATTAATGTTAACACAGACAATGAGATGACGTTGGCTACTAAAACCCTCAAAGACCTCTTAGGAATCCATCATGAGGACATTGAGGAGGAACCTGACAAGGAACCTCTGGGTGAGTAAATGAAATGAACAGATGACAAGATTGTGGAACATCTAACACCACAGCTATAGGTGAGAAGAATAGTCCATTCTCATGATCAGCATCATGAGATAATAGGTTGATAATAGGTTGCTGTGGTACATGTGGTTGGTAGGGTGTTGCTAAGAGTTTGTTATGGTAACCAAGGATCCCAGGACAGACTATGAGAGAAAGGCTTGGTTACTGATTTATCTAATTTTGTTCTCTAGCTGAAATGGATATCAAGAAGACAGAGAGACACAAGAAGACAAGACAACATCCTTATTGGAAAAGAGAACAGGTACAGGTGCAGCTTTTAGTTCTAGTCATGGTCTCTAATCTATGGATTTTTAGTCCTAGTCTTGGTCCTTAGACTATGAATCTTCTAGTCCTAATCCTGCTCCCTAAACTATGGTTATTTTAGCTCTAGTAATGGTTCCAAAACTGTGGATCTTTTAGCCTTAGTCATGGTCCCAAAACTATGGATCATTTAGTCCTAGTCATAGTCCCTAAACTGTGGATCTTTTATCCTTAGTCATGGTCCCTAAATTATGAATCTTTTAGTCTTAGTCAAGGTCCGTAAACAGTGGCTCTTTTAGTCCTAGTCACAGTCTCTAATCTGTGGATATATTAGGCCTAGTCATGGTCACTAATCTGTGGATCTTTTAGTCCTAGTTTTGGTCCCTAAACTGTGGATCTTTTAGTCCTAGTCATGGTCTCTAAACTACGAAGCTTTTGGTGCTTGTTATAGTCACTAATCTGTGGATCATTTAGTCCTTATCATGGTCACTAATCTGTGGATCATTTAGTCCTAGTCTTGGTCCCTAAACTATGGATCTTTTGGTTCTAGTCATGGTCTCTAATCTGTCGACCTTTTACTCCTAGTCATGGTCATTATTCTGTGGATCTTTTAGTCCTAGTCTTTGTCCCTAAACTGTGAATCTTTTAGTCCTAGTCACAGTCACTAAACTATTAAACATGTTTTTTTATAGAGAACCCAACAAGTCTTTCTTCCAAGAGGTTCTTCTGAACAGAACGACATAAAGAACTGCGAGGATGAACACAGGCAGGTGTTCTGTCCCAGACAGGTGCAGCAACAGATGGATGGCATATCCAATGCAGTGCCGTACACCTTTACAGTCTGGAGGACAGGATGGAGAGAGGAAAACACAAGAGAAGGTCCTCGAATGGAGTGCACTCCTCCACGGACAGAGAGGAACGCTGATGGTGGAAGAGGAAGTCTGGATGATGAATCTAATGCAGTGCCGTACACCTTAACAGTCTGGAGGACAGGATGGTTCCTCTCTGAACACTGATGGAGGAAGAGAGAGATGTGGAGGAGAAACGAGACAGAGAACCTGTCAGAGACAGAGAGAAGAACAAATGGAGAAACACAAAAAGTGAAAGAAGAAATCTGTGGGTGGCCTTTAACACTGAAATACACTGATACACTTGCACTCACACACAGCCCTGAAACACTGCACTGTTTCAGCGATGTGTGCAAGTGTTTCACTGGTGTTTGTGAGTGTTTCAGAGGTGTGTGTGAGTGTTTCAGTGGTGTGTGAGTGTTTCTGGTGGTGTGTGCGAGTGTTTCAGTGGTGTGTGTGAGTGTTTCAGTGGTGTGTGTGAGTGTTTCAGTGGTGTGTGTGAGTGTTTCAGGGATGTGTGTGTGTTTCAGTGGTGTGTGCGAGTGTTTCAATGGTGTGTGTGAGAATTTCACTGGGGTGTGTGAGTGTTTTAATGGTTTGTGCGAGTGTTTCAGTGGTGTGTGAGTGTTTCAGTGGCGTGTGTGAGTGTTTCAGTGGCATGTGCGAGTGTTTTCAGTGGTTCATGCAAGTGTCTAAGGGGTGTGTGTGAGTGTTTCCTGTGTGTGTGTGTGTTTCAGCAATGTGTGTGAGTGTTTCAGAGGTGTTTGTGAGAGTTTCAGGGGTGTGTGTGAGTGTTTCAGTGGTATTGTGTGAGTGTTTCAGTGGTGTCTGCGAGTGTTTCAGTGGTGTGTGTGAGTGTTTCACTGGCGTGTGTGAGTGTTTTAATGGTGTGTGCGAGTGTTTCAGTGGTTGTGTGAGTATTTCAGTGGCGTGTGCGAGTGTTTCGGTGGTGTGTGCGAGTGTTTCAGTGGCATGTGTTAGTGTTTCAGGGATGTGTGTGAGTCTTTTAGTGGCGTGTGCGAGTGTTTCAGTGGTGTGTGCGAGTGTTTCAGTGGCATGTGTGAGTGTTTCAGTGGTGTGTGCGAGTGTTTCATGGTGTGTGTGAGTGTTTCAGTGGTGTGTGTGAGTGTTTTAATGGTGTGTGCGAGTGTTTCAGTGGTGTGTGCAAGTGTTTCAGTGGCATGTGTTAGTGTTTCAGGGATGTGTGTGAGTGTTTCAGTGGTGTGTGTGAGTGTTTTAATGGTGTGTGTGAGTGTTTTAGTGGCGTGTGCAAGTGTTTCAGTGGTGTGTGCAAGTGTTTCAGTGGTGTGTGCGAGTGTTTCAGTGGTGTGTGTGAGTGTTTCAGTGGTGTGTGTGAGTGTTTCAGTGGTGTGTGCGAGTGTTTCAGTGGTGTGTGCGAGAGTTTCAGTGGTGTGTGTGAGTGTTTTTGTGTATTTCACCCTAAACGGCCACCCATAGACATCACACACACACACACACACAGAAAAAAGAACTGACCCTCATACACACAGAATTACACACATTTAAAAAAGAAATCATACACGGAAAAACAAGACACACACAAAATAACACACACAGAAAAAAGAAACGCCATACACACACAAAATGACATACACAAACACACATAGAAGAAAAAACGGAACACACACACACACACACACACACACACACACATTGAAAAGAAATCACACACACTCAAAATGACACACACACACACACAACAAATAAATGACACACTAAAACTGACACACACAAACACATTTAAAAGAAAAAAATGCACATTGAGCTTCATGCTGTACAACGCTGTGCAGTCCTTACCCTCAGATGCTGCTGCTGCCGCTACACTATCATAAACTAATCAAATGAACTTTTGCCCCACCTGTTTTTCCCACTTTGTACTGTAATACTTTACACTAACTATGTTTGCTATCCGGTGTCGACCAGAGGAGGATGGGTTCCCCTTCTGAGTCTTGGTTCCTCTCAAGGTTTCTTCCTGTTGCTCTTAGGGAGTTTTTCCTTGCCACTGTCGCCACTGGCTTGCTCATGGGGGCTCGGACCCGGATTTCTTTCTTTTTTCTTTTCTTTCTGTAATGCTGATTTTTCTGTAAAGCTGCATATAAATAAACTTTGCTTGCTTGCTTGCACACACATATACACACACACACGCACACACACGTTCACACACGCACACACACACATACACACACACAAAAGCATCAACAAAGCATCAAATAAAAATATTAAAATATCTTGCTGTCTTGCAGCCTCTTTATTCTTTATTCTTACTGTAATCCATTTTTCAGATATTTTATTGAATAACCTGCTGAGAGAATACAGGGTTTATTAGAGTTGTTATTTATTCAAAGCGTCCATATCATAGAAAAGCTTTTTCCTCACTTTTGAAAAATTAATTAGTTCAAAGTTGTATATAAACCCTGCTGCAGTTTCAAAGGTCCAGCAGTCCATACAGTCCAAATATGTAAAATAAGCTGCAATCTATTCATGTATGTATCCACCTATTCTGCCTACAGCAGTTTAGCCCCACCCACTCAAAACTGAATTAAACTGGTTTTTGAACAATGCAGGACAGCCAATCACAGCAGAGCTTATTTACATATAGACATCAGTATTAAAGGCACTGTAACAAAAACAGCCTGTTTAATTGCAAGGAATAAGGAGAGGCTGGAAAACAGTCATGAAGAAATGAATTATGTAGAATATTTAAGAACAAAATCAAACCTCAGATGTATCAGAAAAGCGTTGACCGATCACATGATCAGTATGTTCCAGTGAAGGGAAACCTTAATGCTTCAGCAGAACAAGACAATTTTACGCTTCCAACTTTGTGTGAACAGTTTGGGGAAGAACCTTTTCTGTTCCAGCATGACTGAGTCCCAGTGCACAAAGCAGCTCCATAAAGGCCTGACTGGGTGAGTTTGGTGTGGAAGAACAACATCAGTGTCTGACCTCACAAATGCTCTTCTGGATGAATGGACAAAAATTCCCACAGACACTCTCCAAAGTCTTGTAGGAAGCTTCCCAGAAGAGTGGAAGCTGTTATGGCTGCAAAGGGGGACCAACTCCATATTAATGCCTATGGATTTAGAATGAGATGTTATAAAAGCTCCAGTAGGTGTGATGTGTAGGTGTCCCAATATTTTTGTCCATATAGTGTATATATTATTCCAATGGATACATGTTATATTGAAGAATGACAACAAATGATTTGTGTTCAAAAAAATGCATACCTTTCTCTCTCTTTGATAAGGTGGTAGAGCTCCCTGCTATACCATCCGCCATCATGTCAACCTGCCTCAGTCGCAAACCCTGTGAAAATCAACACAAAACATACAGTAGGCTGTAACTCTTCACTGTAGATTTAGCAAGAATGGGCTTTTCAAATTCGTGTGTGGACTCAGACGGTCGTCACAGACATTTTGAAAAACATTCTTTCTTGTTGTTTGCTTGTCAGAATTGTGCTGTCGTTGTGTTGTTCCTAACCTGTAAATGAACTTCATCCACTCAAAGAGAGGAATTAGTGAATGGCTGAATATGGACTTGTGCTAACAGCTTTTGTGCTACTCCGGTTCCTGTGGGACGTCTGCTGACACGTCACACATCAGTTATGAAATGAACTGAAACACATAAACTAATAAATGTACACAGCTTACATGAGGTTTGTGTTTCAGTAATGTCAGTATCTTTTCAAGGTTGTTCATTTAATATGAACCAGTGTAATCCAAGATCTGGCTCGCAGCTTTCTTCCTACGATTAAACCATGCACTTTAACATGTGGTACTGATTTATATTTGCAGTAAATGAAATAAATTTGTCAATTAACAAAAAAAAAAAGT